AGAGAGAGAGAGAGAGAGAGAGAGAGAGAGAGAGAGAGAGAGAGAGAAAGAGAGGGAGAGAGAGAGAGGGAGAGAGAGGGAGCAGGGTCCCAATATCCCTTTCAAGGACACTATCTGACTTACTTCCTCCACCCGGGCCCTGTTATTTACAGTTTCAACTACTTCCCAATAGTGTCAGAGACTGGTGGCCAAGCCTTTAACACATGGCCTTTGGGGACATTTAAGATTCAAATCATGACATGTATATTCTGTGCTTACTTTTATTCAACAACACCAGGGTTGAGCAATGTGACAGAGATTATATTTATTGCCTGTAAAGCCTATAACATTTCCTATATGGCTCTTTCCAGAAAGCATTTGCCAACCCCTTCTGTGGACAAGGTGATGCAATGTGAGGTTCATATTCTGGCTCTAGCATTCTCTAGGTGGATGACTTTGCACTAGTCACTGAGTCTATTTGCTCTTTGGTTGTGACATCAGTAAACTTGGCATAATCCTGTTGGCCTCAGTGATACATGATTTGAAAAACAGTTGATGGTTGGAAAGTATACAGCAGTGTTTTGGACATAGGAAGTACCCACATAGGAACTATTGGCTCCTATGTGGTATAAGAGATGGAAATTTCTAAGGAAAAAATGGCTGACTCTGGGTAAACTGCTTGAACTCCTTGGTTCGCACAAATATCTTGGTTATGTTATCACTGCCCAGATTGAATCTTTGCCCTGAGGACTTGACTATCTACCACAGGTCTATGCAGGAAACCATGCCTTTCACCTTGGGCACCATGATGGACTTCTGAACATATTATTTGATTCTCAGTTACAGCAAGCACAAGATCACCCACCTTGTAGTGTCAGGAAGTGTGGCAGGTGACAGAGAGGTCGAGAGGAATCATTCAGGAGGAGGAGGAATCATTCAGGAAGGAGTCCTGGAGGTCCTAAGATAAAATAAGCAATTAAAATGCAATCCTCCGACAAGCTCTAATGGAGCCTGTCTCCTATTGTTTATCGTGAGCGAGATCCAGCCTTTTTAATTGAAGGGGTCACACTCTAGTTTTCATAAATGAAAGTGATCTCATTTGGGAAAATCATATCCTTTTGCTAATTTTAGATACTGTTCCACACTTCCTGTGTTACCAGCCTCCCCTACAATAAATAAAAGAATACTCCTATTTATAAAGTTTTTTATTTGAAGCAGCACCTTACAAAAGAATTGACAAAAAGCAATTGAATTTCCTTTGTGCCCTTGCCAGGTGCTAGAGCAGTGCTAGAGCAGGCATCCTGGTTTTTGCCTTACAGCCCCCTTTGGAATAGCAGATGCTTTTTGTGACTTCATAGTGCAACACAGTGTCCTGGTCACACAGACCGGGAGTCAAAGGATCTGACCTCTGGCGAGGGCTTTGTCATGGTACCTGAACTATGCCATCAGCCTCTGTTCTTGTGGTAGTTGACTTTGTGTGTCAACCTAGAGGTGTTCTTGGATGAGATTAATATTTAAGTTCATAGACTAAGTAAGGTGCATTGCCCTCCAAACTGTGGGGGAAAGCTGTAATTTGGTCTTGGTTATTCCCCAAGGTCCCTGTGTGAAAGGCTGTGGTCTCTAACGTGTGGCTCTACTGGGAGGTGGTGGAATCTTTAAGGGGTGGGGATGAGTGGGACAAGGTGGGGGTGTGCACTTCAAGTTGACAACTTAACCCTGACTGTCAATGTGATTGGATTGGGACACACATAGAAAGTGAGTAAAGCACACTTCTGAGTTTGTGAAGGTTTTTCCAGAGATGATTGTCATGTGGGTCAGCAAGAGAAAGATCTGCTCTGGACAAGGGTGGCATCATCTAGTAAGGTAAAGACCCAGAGAGAAAAAATGTGGAAGATGAGGAGTCCTGCCAGAGTGCTCTCTCCCTGTTTCTATCTGTCTCTGTCTCTGTCTTTCTGCCTCTCTCTGTCTCTCTGCCTCTCTCTCTCTCTCAGTTTCTGTTTCTCTCTCTCTGCTTCTCTCTGTTTCTCCCTCTCCTTCTCTTCCACTGTACTGTAAGCAGCTTTTCTCGGTTAATGCTCCCCTCACCATGACGCTCCCCCTCATCACAGTCCCACAGCAAAGGAGCCATCCACCATGGACAGAAACCTCTGAAATACTGAGTCCAAACAAATCTTTCTTCCTTTAGCTGAAATTTTCAGGTGTTTTGTCATATCATAGTGACAAAAAACGGTATACTCTCCATGCAAGAGGAAATCCTCTAGCTTAGCTGGCTCTGTAATGTCAGCCTTTGGACTTGGAATCACACTGTCTGCTCCAACCTGCTGTCCCACAGTGCAGATTCAAACTTGCTAACCTACATCATCATGTGATGTAATTCCATATAACAAGCCACACACACACACAATTTGTTTCATTTCTCTGAAACCTAATACAGTTCCATGCAATAAAATGAAACTTGATTATAATCAAGTTCCTGTCAACTCTAAGTAAAAGGTAACCATGGACTCCTAGCCATCATGTGTAAACATATGTTGCCTCAAATGGGTGACTGCCCCCTGATTTCCAAACCAGGCACTTCTCATTTTGGAGTGGTTGAGACCCCAGGCATTGGAGCTAGACCCCCTGGGTTCAAACCCAAGTGCTGCCACTTGGTTACTGTCTGACACTGAGTGAACTATTCAGTTCTGATAAACCTCAGTTTCCTCATCTGTAACTTGTCAATAATGTTGATGATGATGATGATATCTACTTTCTAGGATGGTTGCTGAGAACAGCTGATACACGTAAAGTGCCTCTCAAAGAGTCTGGTATTCTCTAAGCCCTTGCCTCAGGATAAACTTGGTTAGACATCAAGAATGAAACATCACTTCTGTTCAGAACTTGACTGGAAATAGTTAAGTAGCTGAATGGAGCCTTAGGGGAAAGAGAAAAAAATTTTCTGTGTGCCAAGAGGGGAGAGAAGTGAAATGCTTAGGGAACAGATTTAATCGCGTCGACAGTTTTTGTTATTAACATTATAAATGTTATATAGCATGTGGCCAACTTCACCTTGTTTCTTTGCCCACGGCAAAGGACTTCTTTCAACACTGGATTGATGCTTTCTGCTACCAAGTGCCTCCTCTATCTTGCTTACAGAAGTAACGTGGGTCCACTCCTCTGCTAGTTACAGCGCCGAGCTATGAGATCATCAGGGGCCAAGAAGATAAACAGTTTAGCAACTTGGCTGCTATTAAGGAGCCTACCTACATAAGCAGTTCGCCTTTCATAGTGGTGGTGAGTAGTTAAAACGCAAATATACCATTAGGTACTGGTTCTCAGAGGTCATGCCTCTTACACTTCTTTCTAAACTTCTTTCTCAATGCCTTTCAAATCTCCCCAGCTAATTTTGGCTCTGCAGAATTAATTTGAGCAAGGCATAAAATTGGCAGTCGAATAAGTTTCTTTGGCTTTCAGATCCCTGTGTTTCTTGTCTTGTGAATTTCCATTGCTCTCTGTTCTTCACTGGCTTCCCATCACCCATCCTCTTGCACCGGGAGTGACGCCATTGTTCTTGACGTGTGATATATCTTTACTTCTCAATGGCCAGTCTGTTAGGCACATATGTGTGTCATGTCTATAATCTTAAGTATGTTACAGAGGGACACACTATGAGTATTACGAATAACAACTAAAAACCTAGACACAGGGAAAAATGGTCTCAGGGACATTTAACATGAATTTTCTTTAATTCAGCTGAATCTCTATGAAGAATTTAGGTACATTGTAGGTATGTGGTCTGTATTCCATATGCTGAAACTAGTGGTAAGAGTTCAAGAACATAGTTAAGTGTGGTTTATAAACTCTGTAAGGTAGATGTTGAAGAGATTTTTATAGATAATCCCAGCCACCAGGTCTCATTAGTTAACTATTATTATGTCTTTATATACCATTAATTATACCACTCTATAAATATATATTATGGGGATAATAATTGAAATAACCATCTTAACTTTTGAGATAATTGTAACTTAAAAGTTCAATGGAGTTTTGAAACTTATTTTAGATAATTTCTTTACAATATACATACATATGTATATATGTATGTGTACATACATGTTCTGACTCAATGATTGTTACAATACACATTACTATGAATCAACTCTCTCTCAAACCAAGTGACATAATACAAGGATGAGAAGGGTGAGTCCCAGAAAAGAGACAGAGCTACTCTATCATTACCATCTGTGAACATGGAAGAGCTCAGGAAATCCAGTGGGAAGCCCTCAGTGAAGGTTTAGGCCCCATCTCTTAGTGCATATGAACTCCCCGGTATGGGCTGTGGATGCTGTGGATGCAGAAACAGCACTGGCTGGAGTGTGTGTGGGGTGGATGGTCATGGTGCAGTGGCAGGAGGGAAGCCTTTATATTTATGAGTCTGACTTTTGAATAAAACTCAAGTTCCCATTCTAGATAATTTCTTATTATGGAATTTCACATAAAATTCATATATTATCAAATCACCTATCTGAAGGAAAAGTACTTGAATCAATAATATTCATGAGAAAAAAGGAAATGGAGCCCAGAGACCCTGTTTGGTCATGCTCATGTTGCCTGTGGAGAAGTAATTGCTGCCTCAAGGCCCCTGTCTCTTGAACTGTAAAATGAAGGCATCGCCCTCCTCCTGTTTCCTCCTGTCTTGATTGACGAGCTCCAGCTTTGAACCCTGATATTGTTGTCACTGATAGAAGGCTTCAAAGAGTAGAAGGAAGTAACCATCAATATGAAGGAGTGAACAGAAAAAATGATTCAAAGAGATACACACAGCAGGGAAGTAGCGAAAGGCACTTGTGTGCAGTGGAGTTGAGGCAGGCTATGTTCCAACGGATGATACTTGGGGTCAGGTTAGTCTCATGAAAGAGGGAGACTCTGGTTCAAAGACTTATTAGGATTAAATGACATCACACACAGAACACACGAAACACAGTTCCAGAAATGAGGATCTGAGGAAGTGCTTAAGGAAGCAAGTCAGTGAATAAGGAAGAAAGTAAATCAGTGAATAGAGGAAGTGAACTTGTGAATAAGGAAAATGTGGAGAAAGGGTGAGTATGTCCTTTGGGGGAAAAGCAAGAGAAGAGAGGAAATGATTTAGAACATGTTTGGCTGAGCAATTAACCTTTCCAAAGCTTTCCCATTCAGCCAAAGTATGCGTGGTGTGTAACTCCTGTTTGCATTGGAGTGAACTATTTTGCACACTACCCACAGAAAGAGGAGCAAACCAGTCAAGCTTTGGGTTATTTTATTTCCTTTTTGAACAATTATGTTCTTTCCAGGCAGTCTGTCACTCAAATTCCCATCAACCTAAGCACAACTAGATTCTGAGGCATCTCCTCCTTGCGAGTTATCTTGGGCTTTCAAAAATCAAAAGTTAATCGCTTTGAAAAAGACCAACCATGATTTTGGTTCCTCTTTGGTACCCGGTGTCCCATTACTAACCTGGGCAGTTGTGAGTTAGCCATGTCCTATTTTCAGAAATGTTCAGTGCCAGCCTAGATCCTTGACAGAAACTCCTGCAGGAATCTCCAGTTTTTCTTTCAGTTTCTCCAGGATCTTATAGTTGTGGCTAGCTGAGGGAAAGGACACCCTGAGAAAATCAGGTGACCATTCTTCATATCAAGTGTTACCCACAGGCTGGATGCATGCAGTTTCCAGGCAAGGGTGCAGTGGGTAGTGGCTGAGAATGTCCAGTAGCCGACAAAGACAAGCTTGAAGAAACTTATTAAATAATAATACTTTTTTCTTGTGGTAGGGATCAAATCCAAGGCCGCATGCATAATAATAAAGTTGTATGTGTAACTGGGGTTCTATTCACAGAATCAGGATAAATAATTCTGTTTGAATATTTACATCTTCAATCCATTCTGATTTCAGTTTAGTACATGGTGAGAGATACGGATCTAGCTTCATTTTTCTGTATGTGGATAGCAGTTTTCTCAGCACCATTTGCTGAAGAGACTATCTTCCCTCTAGGTGCTTTTGTCACCTTTTGTCAAAAATCAGAATACGCCTGCGGGTGTTTCTTTGTCCTTTATTCTGTTCTATTGATCCAAGTGTCTGTTTTTGAGCCATTACCATGCTGTTTTATCACTGTAGCTTTGTAACAGAACTTGAAACCTGGAATTGTAATGCCTCTGGTTTTGCTCTTTATAAAAAAAAATTTACATATAGAAGTATTTACCTATTTTTAGAATTTTACACTAAAACAGTAACAAATTTTAAAAGAAAAAAAATAATAGAATTTTAGATGGTTATATGCACTGTGGAGGCAAAGGATCAGGGTAGGATACTTTTCAATGGGCTGCGCTGGAAGCATTGTCTCTGAAGGAGATTTTTGAGACTTCAGTGAAGGTTGGGGTGGAAAGAAATGCACGGAGGAAAAGCAATATAGGCACAGGAAGTATTAAATACACAGGGGAAGGAGTTAACATGGGATGTATGGTAAAAACCAGAATACCAATGTGGTTGAATGAGGGAGATGGTGGCAGGGCACAGCTCATCAAGATAGGCAAAGGGCCAGAGTTTGAGGTTCTTATAGGCTAGGGAAAGCAGTTTAGATCATATTGTAATTGGGGTGGAAACCCACTGAAGGTTGTAGAGCAGGAAAACATGGTAACTGATTTATGTATTGACAGGATTACTCTGATGGCCACTTGAACATTTGAACTATATTGTCATGTGACCAGAGCGGAAGTGGCATTAAGGTGAAATATGAGGCTGTCCAGGAGCAAGAAGGCAGCTCCTTTAACTAGAACAGTTCCACCAGACGTAACATGAAAGAGGGGCTCAGAACGGCCCCCTTGGAGGAAAATCCACCTTGACCTTTCACTGGATTGAACAAGCAATGTAAAGGAAAAAAGAGGTGAACCACGGATGACTCCTCTGTCTTTGTTTTAAGCAAATGGGTGATGCTGTGTTCCTCACGGAGAAGATGAGGAATTATAGAAACCACTCTAGGTGTGTTAAGCAGGAAGAGTTGTAACACAAGAACTGAGTGCTCCAAAAGCCCTGGAATAGGTGAGAGGTAGAGACAGAAGTTAGGGAGGTGGCCAGTAGTGTTGGGTTCTTCCACCACTCAAGGCCAGTGAATGCAGAAGTTGCTGCTGCCTCCTAGATAACAGAAAACTGGTGCTGATGGTTGTAACTGCCCCATGGTATTGAGAAGAATACCCAAAGTGGATCACTCAGAGACCACTGCACAGTCTTGGTTTTGCCCTGATTCTCAGTGCCAAGGATGCTGCATGGCGAAGAGCTGTTACATTTTTCTTTCATCTTCATAATTCTACCTCACTAGCAGAACATAGACACAACCAGAGTCTAGCACGCAGATGAGGCAGAGAAAGTTCTCAGACATTCAGCTGCTTGCCAAAAAGAAAAACGTAGCACAGGAAAGAGGGGGAAGAATAGGGCCTTGTAGACTAGGAGGAGAAAATAAAACTCGAAGAAATGTTATGTCACAAGTTTATATGTCTATCAGGCATTCAACAGGAGACACCAAGTAGGTAGGTGGAAGTCTAGAATTCAGGGGAAGATTATGAATGGAAATGCACATCAAGATCCATCGACACATAACAAGGGTACAAAGGGAGAGTATTACCAGGGGATAACTGTGGATCAAGAAAGAAAGACCCAAGAGCTGAGCTCTGTGTGATTTAGAGGAAACTTGGAACAACTGAGAAATGCTTCTGGGGTTAAGAAGGTTAAAGTTGGGAGCTGAGCAAAGCTCAGAGGGATGGCTTATGTCCTCCATCAAGAGTACAAGAGAGCATGTAGGTCGAGCAGAGGCATGAACAGCCAAAGAACTGAGAAGGTGTAAGTACAACCCTCAAAGTCAAGTGCAGATAGAAGAACAACCATGTTATCTATCCTGTATATACATACATACAAAATTTCTCCTTCTTTCCCTTCTCTTTTCCCACATCCCAGAAGCCCTTTACTCTTCGGTGGTTTCCTATCATTTCACAGTGTTCTTCTATCTGCTGTTTCTATGCTGAAAGAAACTGTCAATGAGTCTTTGGTTGACCAGTATTGCATGTCTATATCTGTTTTCATGAGAAGCCACTTTGAAGATATCAATATGTAATACAACCACCATTGTTAATTCCCTACCACTTTGTTTGTAACTCTGTATTGTCTGTATTGT